GAACCAGTTAAGAAAAGGGTGTGTCCTTGGTGCTGGCCAACTCACCAGGTCACTGCTGACCAGGAAAGCCGAGAGGTCCACCAGGACCCACGTGGGGATCATAAAGAAGATGGCGTGGCAGCCCAAGATGTTCAGCAGCCTCAGATGGTGGATCCGTGAGTCTCTCAATACCTGAAGAGAGAAAATCTCTTTAAAGGCCAATCGACACTGTAAGTGTCAAAGACTAGTTACTCAGGCTCCAAACACAGTGACTGTACATTAACCCTGAAATCAGACCTTGACTACTATACCTGCAAGGGTACCTATGATGAGATAGGCAGCTCATGCCTAAAACAAGTACAATGTTTTATACACAAAGGACCGAGAAAAGAAAAACAAAGCAAAAACAAAACAGCAACACGCATTGCCTCAATGCTGGCGTGGCACTCTGAAATCCCACTAAATTGGTATATTACTGTTTCAGAACACAACCAGGTAAAGTATATCAAGAGCCATATATGTCTTCTGACCCTTATCATTATATCCTTATATAAGCCAATCATAAGGAAATCACCTGAGAGAAAGACATTGTAAATTATTGCATTACTTACAATGAATACAGTGGGGCCTTGACTTACGAGTGTCCCGACTAACGAGTTTTTTGATACCAGCTGTCTCTCTGCCGATTTTTTGCATTGAGTTGACAGAGTAATTTGAGTTAACAAGCTCCTTAGCCAGCTCGGTCTCAGAACGAATTAAACTCGTAAGTCAAGGCCCCACTGTACTTGGAAATAACCTGCATTTGCAATAGAAGAACTAACTGTATTAATTGTGGTACCTGAGGAATGTGATTGTTACAGGAGTTAAGAGCAATATTTTTTAATGATATCGGAGAATGCAATGTTACAATAATAAATGAACAAAACAAAATTCTAACATGTATTCATATTATAACTCCAAAAGCTGTGCAGAAAATACCCCTAGCACTGTTTACCCAATAGCATAGAAACCCCTTGACAGGTGGAGCAAGTCTCTTAATTCTTCATTTCTAGCACCTACTACAGTGCCTGGCACACAAGTAGGTACTCAATTCTGATTTTTTTTCATTAAGCTTTTCTCTATTTTTTTCCCATCAAGCATATGTTAATTGTATAATAAAAAATATAATCTCTTGGCACACATGTTCTCTTTCACTCTCTCTCTGAAGCATGCCCCACCTTTCCCCCTCTTCTTCCCTCAAAGCGAGTACCTTTGCTCCCGCTCCCCCCCGCCCCCCCGCCCCCTGCAGCTCCAAGGGCCTTTCTTTTGCCTCTGAACTGGTTTCCTGAGCCCATGCAGCCCAGCTGGCTCACTTTTTCTTCCTCTGTGACTTTCTCCCCCCGCCCCCATGACTTTCTAAATAATATTTGAAAATAAGAAAGTAACAAAAACATATTGAAAAATTAAGCAATAGAAAACTAGCAGAAGGACATGATTTTCTTCATTCCATCACCAAAGAAATCCCTACTTGGTCACTTTTTCAATGCTACCCATGCACCCCCAGAACATCAAGTGTACCACAGACAGTATCTAAATACCTTTTTGGAGAAAATATTCTGAAGCGAGAAGCACAGTGTGGCAGCAAGAGCACTGATGAGCCCCCACATATCAAACGACAACTCGGTGACAGTGGCCAGCAGGACGCCGCTGATGATGGGGATGAGTGACAAGTACACCTGTGGGAGAGGGTGGGCAAGGCTGATGGGCCGGAGTTGAGCTGGGCCGCCCAACACAGACACCCCGGGGAAAGCCTCAGCTGCTCTCTTCTCTTCACCAAAGGGGCACCACCTATGTTTGGACAACAGTGTTAGCTGTGACAGCGATGCTCTGGAGGTTGGGGGCAGGGAGATGGTTATCATAGTACCTGGGGCAAGGCTGTGTCACTATGGGCAGCCCAGTCCTTATACCATCACCCCCATGAAGAGCCCTTGCTCAGGGCTACCAACTGGGGCTGCTCCTAACAGATCTATCCGGCTGCCACCACCAACACACCAGGGTCTGAAACCCCGATCCTCCAGGAGGCTGGCAGGGTCCCTTTTCCAACTTGCATTTACCACTGGCTGGAACACTCTTGCTTTCTCTAGCTGGAGAGCTACTACTCCTGCAGGCCTCAGTTCACACAGCATTCAAGAGAACTTGCCCTACCCACCTTCCCCCACTTCCACCCTGTCAAGTTCCTGGGCCCAGAGATCTCCACCCATTGTAGGTGTCCATTACATAGTCTGTGTCCCTGCACTTTTTTAGGGTAGGTCCTTTTTAGTGCTCTATCCTGGTGTCTAAAACACAGCAGGCATCCAGTAACTGCTGGCTGAATGACTGAGTAACGTGCTGGGATAGGAGGCCTTCCACAAGGTCCAAGCTTTCCAGGGCCTGGTGCATGGAATGGCTCATGAGCTCTCTGCTGGCTAAACGGCTCCCAATTTCCAGATAAACAGAATCAATTCCTGACATTTAGCTCTTCTGACTCCCAGCTTCTCTCTCTTCTACAAAGGACTTTCTTAAAGTACTGTGGAGATTTTAGGAGTGGCTGGTTAACCCCCCCCCACCACCACCACCAAGTACCTCCTTGCCCCCCACACCTCCACCCAGGGCACAGCAAGGGCTCTGAATTCCAGCTTCCCCACTACTGGCTATGGACCTCAGGCACATGGCTCTCCCCTTTAAGTCCCGTTTCCTCCCCTGAGATCTGGAATGACCTGCTTTATCTTCCTCACAGGGTGGATCCATACTTATTCCTTCATTATCAGACTCCTGCCCAAGTCATTCCCTACTGTTTCCTCACTGGGTGAAGTTTCCAGCTCCTCGTCCAAGCCAGGTCCAATGTCCTGTACAACGGGGAAACCTGATAAACACGCTGTGATATCGAGTGATGCAGCTGCACACCTCCTGAGCAACTCCAACTCAGGAGACAAGCCACAGCTGACATCACCCTGGGAGCAGGCAGCAGAACACACCCAGTTCTTGCAGGGAGAAAGGCAGGCTAGAATAAAAAATCAGCCAGAGGTGGCCCAATTTCTCTTTTTAAAAAACACACACACACACACACACATGTGTGTGTGTGTGTGTGTGTATATACATACATATATATATATATATATATATAAATATTTATAAATAATTGATTTCAGAGAGGAAGGGAGAGGGAGAGAGAGGCAGAAACATCAATGATGAGAGAGAATCACTGACTGGCTGCCTCCCGCACACCCCCACTGGGACAGAGCCCGCTACCCCCGCATGTACCCTTGACCGGAACTGAACCCGAGACCCTTCAGGCCGCAGGCCGACACTCTACCCACTGAGCCAAACTGGCTTGGGCGGGCCCAATTTCTATAAGCTGATCCAAGGCACTGCTGCTCTTAGTTACATAAAATACAGGATGCCAGAAACCAACCAAGTAGAAAAGAGGCGCTCTGTCCAGCATGAAATGAATTCCAGCTGGGACAACAGGAGTCCTACTTCTACTTAAGGGCATGGATGGGCAAGGCTGTCTCAGGCTAAAGCCACAGCTTCTCTCACCCCAAGGCAGGAAATACCCTGG